AAAGAATTCCTCATTAAGGGTCAGCACGATGGCTTATTGGGTCAAGTTGTTTTCTGCCAAGATTGATCTGAGTTTGGATCCTTAGCACACACAGACATATATTTATAATTTCATCACCACAGGTCAGGGTACAAAAAGATGCAGATCCCTGGAACTTGCTGGCCAGCCAGTCTCACTTCAGGATCAATGAGACCTTGTCTCAAAAAATAAGGCAGAGTGACAGAATGGCACTCAACACTGACAGTTGATCTTCATTTATATACACACATATACATACACAGAAGTCTCACAGAGATTAACAAGCATTCATCTACAAAAGGATAGCAACTTTATCTTCATATAAATTGCCTCCTAAAAGTAACTGCTAATAGCAACAAAAACAACTCGCAACTATCCATAAATATTAGCCTTGTAAATGTGCAAAAAAGTTCTGTTCTCTGTTGTATGGTTTAGGGACCCTGCTGGATAACACAAACTGAAGAATCACATTAAAAGAGTAAGGTAAGTTCCATTTTGCTTAGATCATACTTCGTCCAAAATAGCACTGCACCACATAGAGGATTCTTCTGGGCACCCTGTTTCTACAATAGTGGAAAACCAAAGATAGAGGTAGATTCTAAATTCAGAGTACTACCATCTGATAGTTCTCTGTTGACAGTCTCACCCCATGGGAGACACTGAGGGTTGCAGTCAGAAAGAGGACAGTGAGGGTCACAAAAAGGAGCAGAAGGATCTTAGCAGTAGCTGTGCATTCTGGCCAGTGTAGATGTACCACCAGAAAGAACTTTCCTCCATGTAAATTGATTCATCTCAGGTATGGAAATGCTAAAATCACGGTACTTGTAATTTAAACACAATAGCCTTTTGTTTACCACAGACAGCTAGGGCACATAAACCTTTTCTAACCTACTCACAAACACTTTGCTTAGCTGGGAGTAATGTCATCTTCAGTGAGAATGACTGTGTTACAGGGAAGAAGTTTGTTAAGCAGTGGGAAAAAAAATTAAACATTTCAAATGAAATGAAACACCATTTACATTAGGAACAAAAACACATAATATAGAAAAACCTAACAAAAATAATATTCAGTAAAAGTATAAAATATTGGCAAAAAAACTAAAAGTTGCCTAAATACATAAGCTAAAAAAATATCTAAATATTGTGCCATGCCTACTGATTCTAGAGATTTTTAACTTTTGTGAATGAAGAAATAGAAATACTTTTTCTTCTAACTTTATAAGACTGTTCTTTGAGCAAAACTAAGTAATTTATTATTATTTTTATTATCATCATCATCATCATCATCATCAGTTCAGACTTATATCTGTCTCTATAGTCAAATTTTGTAAATAACACTAATTTCTACCACACTAGATAAGAGACAAAAAAAAAATTCTACTTTTAGAAAAACAGCATTCCTGTAAGTATGGACCAGACTTTTCTCTGAAATGGGGTACTATCAATATTTCAGATTAAGTTATTTTAGAACTATAATATGACATCAAATTCTTATAAATTATAAGGAATGATATTTAATATTATTTTGGTCATATAAATCAAGAGAAACAAAATTTTCTGGGTAAAATCAGGAAGGCATTCCAAGTCACTGAAGATTTTGAAGAATCCTAAATTTGGGTTTAAGAATGCCTCTGAAGCTCATTAATGTAACCCTACATATTTACAACAAAAGCATAAAATTGTATGTCTAAAATAAAAAAATTCTATTCATAGTCCAAATGTTCTTTATACTATAAACACCAATATATCTTTAATTGTTGTTATTTATCCCTAGTGGTTTACAATGTTTCTTTCATAAGTAACTTTTCATTTTTCCAAAAGTTCGTTATTTCTGTTGTAAAAGAACCAGCTATCTTTATTACAGGTGTAAGCAACTACTTTTCTGTTCCTCCTTCCTATGAAAGCTCAGATCCACTCCAGACACAGCAATGCAAACAAGCTCCTATTCTTTCCCCCAAAATGAAGCACAACTGACATTAGATGTAGGTAGGTAGGTAGGTAGGTAGGTAGGTAGGTAGGTAGGTAGGTAATCATTTTCTATTTTGCCCACGATAGAGCAGGCCTGTAACCACCAAGACTTCAGGGGCTATTTTGTCAGTATTCTAGAAAAGCTGTTTTCCCCTGACTTGAAAGGAAACCTAGAGAATATTCTTTCTGCTTTACCTGTTTTGAGTATGTGCAGTTGTTACATCACTCTGTCAAGACAGGGCTCAGATCCTAAACTCAGTATTATCATAAGACTGACTGATAATTATCTTGCTCTGGAGTAAATTATTCAACAATCATGTTTAAAACCTTGAAGTTGATCACCGGCACTACAACAAACCACTACCATCAACAAGTTAAACATAAAATAAGCTTCCATTTACTTAGCCAATAAATTGCCTTATTTGAGTTCAGATCCCCAGTAGCTATACAAAAGCTAGGGATAGAAGCAAGCATCTGCAACCCCAGTCAGTGCTGGGTGGTTACAGATAGGCAAATCTCTAGATTAAGTAAAGGACCCTGCCTCAAAATATAAGGTAAAGAGCAACTTGAAGAGACATCCAATGTAAACATCTAACCTCCACATGCAGAAACATGTGCACCCATACATATACCATATACACACTTGCACAAAATAACCTATAAAAATCTGAGTTTCAAGGAATAAAATTCTTCAACACTTAACCTTTTTACTAGAAACCTGTTAGTTTCCCTCAAAGGAGAGTCACTGATATTTCTTATAGTGCAAATGATGTTCAAAGACAAGACTAAGCCAGGTGGTGGTGGCACATGCAGGTGGATCTCTGTGAGTTCAAGACTAGCCTGGTCTACAAGAGCTAGTTCCAGGACAAAAACAAACAAACATGTTAACAAACAAACAAAAAAACCTTTCCATCTCAGGTATTTTGATTAAATAAATCGGGAAAGCAATGGTGCCTGCGAGCTTTGTAATGATGCAGTAATTAGCCATGGTAATTAATTATTCCTGAGATTTCACTTAAGAAAAATGCTAGTATTATTAAAGTTAAAGATCAAAAACCAACCAAAATAGTGTATGTTTGTTTCCCTTCTGCTCATACATCTATACCCCTACAACTATTTTCTGTGCTAGGCAAATTAGACTTGCTAACACGGCTAAATTAGGTAAAGTGAACCATGTACTCCATTTAAAGTAAATAAACACTGTATTAGGTGCATGCTTCTCCAGCTAAATATAAACCAAGAAGCCATTTATTTAAAAAAAAAAAAAAAGGTCTGAAGTAGTCTCTAGGTCAATACTCCATGTTCTTAGAAATCAACATTTGAGCCAATAATACAAATCTATGCAGATAAGCTGAATTTAAAAGAAGATAAACTTTTAAATATCTACCAACTTTAAGTGCTTACAGTACTCTTATATAAAGATAAAGATCAGAGTTCAAGATGTGCTTGTAGTATATGCTTTCTTAAAATTACAAAAAATTCTAGAACAACGGATTGTGGTGTTACAGTAGCTTTAGGAGCCATGAGAGTTTTCAACCCATCCTTAGCTCAGAGGAACATTTGTTTCCAGAAAATATTTACAAATTAATGAAATTATTTTGCCTTACTAAATTACATTCTTTAAGAAAGTTTAATAAGTTTAAAAGACCAGCCTTGCTATAAAAAAAGACCCTATTTCAGAACAAACAGCCCTATAATATACATGTAAATATCTCTATACCATCTTATTTATCTTTTATCTACACTTTGCAGCATGTCAGCATTGAATATTACATCTACTATATTCTTAAGTTCAAAAGTTAAGTTTCCGAACAATTAGTCCCTCATTAGCTAGTTTCCATAGTGTAGTTATTATCTCACGTTTGCCTCACAATTAGTCCCTCGTAATTGAGTCTAATTAGAAATCAAGAGTCTCTCTCTCTCTCTCTCTCTCTCTCTGTGTGTGTGTGTGTGTGTGTGTGTGTGTGTGTGTGTGTGTGTGTGTGTCTCTATCTGTCTATCTACATAGGACCACACAAATATGACCTACCAAAATGGAAAGACTATTTGAAAAAAGGAAAAGATAGGGAGGATAGGAAAGGGTAATGGAGAGTAAATAAGATCAAAGTACACGATTTACTTAAACAAAAATGTCATTAACGAAGCCCACCATTTTGTACAACAAATATACACTAATAAAAAGTCTTCATAAAGCTTTCACCACAATTATTTACAGAAATCACATGTGACCTCATTATCAAATAAGATACATTTTAACTTTACAGAAATCTGTTCCATCAAGTTTTTAAAAGAACCCTCATATCTAAAAAAAGAAAACACTATTATGCTGTATTTGCAATTTATACTTTCAAAATATGGTTCAACAAAAGAAAAACATGTATCCACCCCCTTCCCTGTGAATGAGAATAAACAACAATATGTTATCAATGCTGAACCAAGGGAAGGAAGGGTTTCAAATACATTCTTGTATTTGAAAATTTCAAAGTAAAAAGTGGGAGCTCATGGACCCTGCTCTGATAGCTGGGAAATCTGCACAGGACCAACCCCAAACCCCTGAAATGTGGGTGTTAGTTAGGATTGGCCAGTCTATGGGGCCTCTGGTAATGGATCAGTATTTATCCCTAGTATATGAATGGACTTTGGGAGCCCATTCCACATAGGGGATACTCTTCAGCCTTATTCAAGTTAGGACCTAGGTCCTGCCCCAAATGTGACAGGCTTCAATGATCCCCCATGGAAGGCCACACCCTCCCCTCAGGGTGGGGGTAAGATGGAGGTTGGTAGGAAGAATGGGAGGATGGAAGGGAGGGCTTCGAGCTGTGGGTTTTCAGATAGTACACTGCATATATCCAGAGTACCCCTTTTGATCTCAAGCAAGACTCTCCTGCCTTGAATGAAAATAACTTTGCAGAATTAAGTTTTAAACAAAAACATGCAAGCAAAATCATGTATTAGGAAAGAGGAGCGGGGATGGTAGGTTAAAAAGGTTGATGTAAGTCAATTAACTGATTTACCTGAAAGTTAACGTCTTCTTTCTTAAATATTAGTGCTCGAACTTCATCTGGATCACCATTAAATATAGCTTGCACCAGTGATGGCTAAAAAAAGGGAGCAAAACATTAATCACATCATATGTACAATTTTAAAGATATTTCTGTATGATTTATAAGTATAATATGTTTTCTCCCCTGCAGCCATAACCTTTTTTGATGGGTTGGGAAGATAAATCAGACATTTCATATCAAAGTACAGGGTTCGTCCTTGGGGGAGGGTAATAGTAAGAAGCCTAACTAATAAATCTATTCAAAAGTAATCTGATCAAAATTAAGTATATATACATTTGTCTTATTTCTTACATGAAAGCCTTTTGCTTATACATAATGAAAAGAAAGACATACAAATGTAAGTCTGATAATTCAAATCTATTTTTGGATAGAACCAGTCGAATAAGCAACTCCTAACCCACTTAAGACTATGAAAGAAGATTTTGAAAAGGTTTGTTCAGGGCATGAATATAACATACACAGGATTCCTACTACATGTATAAAATGACAGAAATTCCAGAAAAGAAATTTAGCGACTGATAAAAACCAGCTATTAGAATAACATGAAAAGGCAAACATATACTTGTCTAAATATAATTACCTAATCAGCAACAAAGATTCTTCAGGTTATCATATTATACTAATCAAATAAAGAGTTAGTTGAAAACAGCATTCAAAATAAGGTTAAGGATATATTTCTTTTAAATATAAAGTCTTACATGCAAATAGGTAAGATTCTTTCTAGAAAGGAATAAATGTTGACATTGTTGTAGTAATCATCCTGTTCAAAAATATGTAAATCCCTGATTCTTGTCAGATCAGTTCTAAAACCAAAAGGAAACAAGAGCATGTTTTCAAAACTACTTCTTGGTTTATTTTTAAGTCCTCATAAGGAGATGAACAGATGTAGTCTAAAGTGTAACCTAAACATTTGAAAAAGAAAAACTCAGAAATGTGCTCATTTTACACACAAATACTCCACCATACAGACCCACATACTGCTTGGAGCTTCTAATGAAACTAGTAAAATTTAACTCAGAATATTCTTACAAAATTAAATTTATATAACTATCTCTATAAAATATAATTAACAAAAAACTCTCATAGCTTACCAATACATTTCCAGAGGGTGGAGAATGTAGAGATTTACTTTCCTGGGGCAACTCAGAAATGAATACAGGAGAATCATCTTCTATCTCCTCCAAAACAACAATACACACTCGACTCATTCGCTCTTTTAGAACATTAAACTCCAAGCTATGTAATAGAAGTCACAGTGGGGAAAGTGCAAGTAGTTTTTCTTCCTTTTCTGTATACCACTTATGAACATTCTTTGAACAGTGCTGCTGGTTTTATAGTTAACAATACTAGAGAAACTGAAGTTTAAAGTTATGAAACATAACTTCCTAGAAATAAAAACTTATTTCTTTTTTTGCAGTCTGTAAAAAGTTTCACATCAATGTGTCAATAATTAAAACTCAAGTCTAGGGCTAATTCTTTCAAAAATATTTTTCTTCCACAAAAATAGTTAAATTGAGCTCTGAAATTTACTTGTATAACACAATCATCATTTTGGGTGACAAGATACCACACCATTAGAAACAACTGCTGTGGTAGAGGTGGTCACGGATATCCCCCCCCTTTTGTCTGCAAGGTCATATAGTTACCAGTAGGCTGTGCGGCTTGTAGCTGAAAATAAACAGAGTCTCACTATCTGTTTCCACTTCTAATTTGTCTTCATTTTTTTCAGCTTCACTGACTTAATACAGATATTATCCAGGAAACAAATAAACAAACAAAAAAATTACAGAATTTAACATAAATCCTGAAAATGAAGCTCAATTCTGTTTAGGAAAGAAAAGGCAGCCACCACTCTGCATTAACAGCAAAGCTGCAGCACATTTGCACGTGATGAGTCAGATCGCAGGAGACAACAGTTGAGAGCACAGTTGATTAATCCAGACTCCGCATATAAGAGATGAAACAAAGATAGCTCTATCCTATCAGTAACATAGGCAAGGCAAAGCTTTCATTCTTTCTCCATCAGGCAGTTGTTTCTGGCTGCCTAGCAGAAAGACGCAGGCACCAAGCAGAAATGGTGTCAGTGGAGAATCCCAACCCAACAAGCAGACAGCAAAAGAGTCAAAAAGCCTTTGAACTCCAATTACTGCTTCATACTTTTCATTTTAAAACAAAAGGAAGACAGTAGTTTGTCACTCTAGTATTTCCTTTCATCTCTACACGGATATAGCTTCCATTAAACAGTCTTCATTCAGAGGAAAAACAGCAGACTGTGCATCTTCTCTGAGCCAACTACTTTATTCAGTCATTTGCCTCTGTGCCAATACATTTTCCTTCCCTGGTGAAAACCGCTACAGTTATCCTTTTCAGTTGATTTCAGATGTTTTCCTGTTTCTCAGATGATCTTTCAAAATGCCGCTAATATCCTCAAATGAGTAGGCCCTTGAGAAATATCCACACAACCTCAGAATTGGTCCCGCAGAAGCATTTCAACCGAGCAACAGCCTGAAGAGCAAAGCCTGCAGACCCGCAGGATGAAATGCCTAGTAATGCTCACATGTTACACTTACCAGAGAGCTGAGCTGCTCAGGATGTAACTTCCTCTAGCAGGAGAAAAAAATAGTGCATTTGGACAGCCTTCACAATTAGAGGGTTCATGCCAGTTCTGTGACTAATCCAGATCAAACTGAAAATTCTATAACTCAAAAATAAGTGTGCTTTTAACATTTTCCACTAAAAGCCACAAGGAAATACTGTCTCTGCTGACTAACACTGGCTTTAGCAAGTAAACAGTCCCAAACAGCTTAACTGCTTTCGTATGCGATGTTACAGCAAATGTTTAACTCCATGATAGCAGCTGCAGTAAGAATGTCTGTTATGAATTCACAGAGGAAAGAGAAATATTCTATCAAACTAAAAAACCATGAACTAAGTTAAGGGGCATTATTCTTATTTTCCCCCAGACCTTTTTCTTCCTCCTCTTCCCCTCTTCTTCCCCCTTTCAGATGTATGTTTCTAGAATGAAGAGAGGTTTAAAGAAAACAAAAGTTAAGGCTTGCTATGACTTCTAAGTTAATGAATTCAATCGTTTATTGACTCAAACTTTTTAAAAAAAGAATTTTAATGTCATAATGGTAGAAATCCTAATATTAACTTTTTATGAATCATTTGAATTTTTAAGAAATTAAATACCTTCATATCTTAAAACCCTATTAAACAGCTGCATAAGACAATTGTTTAAAGTTCTTGTCCTGAATTACTCACATTTCAAAAGAGCCCAGAAATCTTACAAAGAAAAGAAACAAACAACACCTCCTCCCTGGTAAAATAATTTCATTTGGGCACTCGGGTTGTAGTACTATCTAGCATGTACCAGGCCATGGGTTTAATCCTAAACACTGCAAACAAAACCACCCAAACTACTTTTGAACTGGCTTTCACTACCTTTCTCACTTTGCTCCAGACTAAGAATATTTCCCAATTTATTACAAAGAAATACTATGCCCCACCTTAATCTGTATTTGCCCCTTTTATCACCTTGTATTCTTATATGCAACTTCATGCTATTTTTGAGCATGTTGTGCTGGGTGCTATAATCCTCCCTTAATATAATAATCTCCTATATTCCCATTTCATACAGGATAAAAGAACCCAGAAATTATTTGATCCAATCATCCAAATGCCTAAAATACTTAATGCCTCTTAAAAAGGGGAGGGAGGGTGCTAACGGATGCTTTTATAAAACTGGTAAAATTACATTTTTAACATGTCCAAAATAAGATGCAGACACCCACAGCATTATTTGGAGAGAGTCTAAATGGGGGGTCTCCACCAAATCCCAACCCTCAGACCTCAGAGAATCCTGAAGATGTGGAAAAGAAAAAGAGTGTAAAAGTCGGAGGAGATGGTGGAGGATGAGAACAAGGCCCCCTGAATCAACTAAGCAAGGCACATAAGAGCTCAGAGACTAAAGCAGGAAGCATGGGCAACTACATGGGTCTACACGAAGTCCTCTGTGTATATATGTTTTATGAGACTCCTAACTATGAGAACTCTGGCTCTTGTGCCCACTCTTGAGTCTCTTCCTTCTGTTGGGTTGCCATGTCCAACTTCAATATGATAACTCTTAATACTGTTGATGGTAATGTAAATTAGTTCAGCTACTATGGAAACCAACATGGAAGTTCATCAAAAAATTAAAAATAGAACTATATGACTCATCTATACCACTCTGCAGTATATGCCCAAAGGAGTCACAGCATAACAGAGACACTGAGAACCCATCATTATCACAGCACTAACAATAGCCAAGCTACAGAATAAGCCTAGGTGCCCCCAATCAACAGTTAAAAGGAAATTAACTGATGAGTTATGATCACAAGGATGCAGAAAAGAGGTTGGTTTTCATAGGGAAGATTTATATTGAAAATATTTGAAGATAAAAGTTTCATTGTATTTGGTCAAAACTAAAGGAGTAATTTTTCCTAATTCATATTCTCAAATATACTTTCTTATGTCAGTAACATTTATACAAGGGTTTCCTTCAGTCTGTTTTAAGAGTGCTCCCCCCAAAACAAACAAACAAAAAAGCTCTAGAACCCTCATAGTATTTTCGATTATTAGTGTGTTGTGAATGATTTATACTGATGGGAAGAAAATGACAAAGTTTAACTTTTCTACATATTATGTAGCTTACTACTGGTTGCCTACTTAACCATCATTAACCCCTGCCCTTCTTACAGTCTACCTTCAGTTTTGTTTGGATGTTCACTTCAATATCCCACTTGACTTGGAGAAATCTTAAATAGAGTAAGGTAATGATCACAGTAATTCTACCTACTAAGTGATTCATTTGGTAACTGACATGCAATCTGAGCCAGCTTGCTCTCTCACATGCCAGGGAAAGTCAGCTGTAGTGCTTCTAGGAAAGACCTTTTTTTCCCCCCACCTGGTTTTTAAAGGAGAAACAGAAAGAAATGGCCCCCTTACTGGACAGGAGTATGTTTGATAATAATGCCATGAAGTATGTTTATGGGTATCTTTTGACCTAATGGAGTTTATCCTACAGTCCATGCTAAGTCTGGGGGGGGGGGGGGGTTTGAGGGACCTCCTATTGTCACAGCATTGAGTAGCTAAACCACTCAACCTAAAGCACAGTATTTCAATTCTTACTGCTATAGTAAGACCCTTTACTATTTAATTCAGTTTGTATTTTAAATATAAAGTATTTTCAGTTTAAAAAATCCCTAATATAAAAGAACAAACAATACTCTATTACAAATAAAAGTAAAAGTCATCAAAATATACTCATTAACCTTATATTGGCTCAAAAGCTTTTACATATGCCTGTGATGCTCTTTATTATGAGTATGAATGTCAACAAAAAAAAAATTATAGCATGATTGCTGGCAGGTTTAACAACTAAATTAACTAAGAATGGCCTAGTCATAGATCTTAATAAAACATCTCCTATGTTTAAGAAGTTCAGAACCAGCTACAATTAATGTAATTAACAGTTTTAATGTTTATAAGCATAGCATTTTATAAGCTTATTAAAGTCATAAAAATGTATGTTAAAAAGAAACACATCAGAAAAAAATTGATGTGCAGAAATACAGCATTCTCTCCTTCCTTCCTTCCTTCCTTCCTTCCTTCCTTCCTTCCTTCCTTCCTTCCTTCCTTCCCTCCCTCCCTCCCTCCCTTCCTTCCTTGACATGGTTTCTATGTGTAGCTCTAGCTGTTCTAAAACTTGCTCTGTAGACCAGACCGGCCTACAGAGATCCACCTGCCTCTGCCTCCTGAGTGCAGGATCAAAGGAGTGCGTGATCACAAAGCACATGAACGCATTCTTTGATAAAGAAAAATATTCTAAACTATCTGTACTGAATTTAAAATAATTATGTTCAGTATGTCTCCACCCTGTTACAGCTCAAAAAGGATGAGTCATTTTCTTTAGTATTTTCCAAATGATAGTTACTTTAGAAAGGAAGTGATATTTACAGTTTTAATTTGTGTATGGAATAACCATGTACACACATAAGCTACCAATCTTTCTATATTAGTGGAAATTCTGTGGCTGTCTTGTGTAATTACTGCTTAAAAAAGTAACCACATGCTAACCATAGCAACTTGTTTTTAAATTGAAAATTGTTCCCCTTAACTTTTTAAGTACAGTAATGTAATACTACATTTACCTGGACATTTTCAAATTATAGAAACCAACATGAATTGTAAATAATCTTTCTTTAGT